TTTTAAATACCTACTAAATGTTTTAATGATTCTTTGTGATATACCTTTGTTTCTTCGTATCACTAAAGAGTATCAGAATAAAACTGATGGTAGAGGGTCCTAGATATGACACCCACACATTACCATTTTGAGACGTAATGACTCTTTTACATTTTTTCCTCGAAATTGTGTGAGTCCTGTTACTACGCTTTGATTCCGACTACAGAAGACTGGTACTGAATTTCGATGAAAGGCTTTTGGGTTGTACTTTAGGAGCGTGAAGTAGGAACTCCCGAAAAATTTCATTTTTAAATTGCCTTCCATAAGCAGAGCAGTCATTTCTCGAAATGGCTCGATATCTTATTCACTAAGGATGGTTTTACGTCTCAGGAGAAGTGACAATCTGAAGAAGCAGGACCAGGGACTGTTACGTGGAGCGGAGGCTACAGCCAATGACAATACCTCCTACATTTGTCTTTATAGAGAGTTCAATTTGACAAATCCCTCCAATTTTATAAATACCTTTTAGTGAAAATTGTTCGAACAAACCACCCACTGAACACCACTGACCCACCATATTCCATCGGCGAGTATTTTGATATGAATGGCAGTGACCTATTATAATCCTATTGAAAAATCTTTTACATCGAAAGTCTTGCAAATATTACAGCCACAATAATAGTTATTTGCGGTAATTTCAAGATATTTTTACATTCATTTCTAAACTTACGATGGAAGGGATTGTTTCTTAGTGTGGTATTTTACCATGTGAGATGATGCAAAATGATTGAACTTTCGCGGTAGTGTCAAAACCAGACAATTCGATGCCAATGAATATAATAAATCACATACGAGAGAAAACTCATACAAGAATTTAGTACAAACTAAAAAATAGCTGTAATGCCCAGTACATATGCTATAGTAAAAATCTACAAACACCTCCTTTTTGTGTCTCATCTCTTGCCGTCACATCGGTGCAGATTCACATATTTCAATCTCTCACTTTTCCGAACTCGGTTCGCTCGTACAATACGTCGCCAGAAGCATCAATCGCCCTCCCCCCTTGGGCGTCCACCGTCCGCCCCTCCACTTCCGCGCCACAACACACTCCGCGCGTCCACCGTACTGACCGAGCGGGCGAGCGCGGGCGGGGGCGGGACGTGGGCGGGGGCGGGGGCGGGCGAGAGGCGAGCGAAGAGCACAGAACCCGGCCGCGCGCAAAGCGTCGCCGCCGAGGGGCAGTTACACGAATCACCGGCGCACAGCCACTGCGGCGGGGCGGCAGCTCATTTCGCTTTCGCGTCCAGTGATCCGCCCACGCGCGGCGGCCGCTGCGAGGAAGAAGAACGCGGCGGCACCTGCGGCGGCGGCGGCGCGCCCGGGCCCTCCATCCCCCTCCCCCGCCCCCCGCCGCGCGCGCCAAAGAAACCACCGCAGCGCGCCGGACGCCCGCGGGGGCCGCTGGATTCCCACGCGGCCGCCGCCACCGCCGCCGCCGCGGCCCCAGCGCCAGACGCGACTCCGCGCGCGCTGCACGCTCAACGGCTTCCGAAGATTAGTCCGCTGTGTGATGCGCCCGGCGGCGTGCGGCGGCGGCCAGCCTCCACCTCCACCGGCCATCGCCCGCCTGCGCGCTCCGATCCGTGATCGCCGGCGCGAGCGGGCTGGCGGCGCGGCAAGGCGGCGGGGCGGTGCAACTGACGTTATAATTATCGCCGCCGTCGCTGCTGCTGCTGCCAGCGGCGGAGCTCGCGGCGATGCGCGCGGGCAGCGCGGTGCGGTGCGGCGCGGCGCGGCGTGTGTGAAGCCCGTGCTGTCAACGCGCGCCCGCCGCGCGCCAGAGAGAGACTTTGTTGCGCGCCGCGCAGGCGGGGGCGATGGCGCCGCGGGGGCGGGCGCAGGCACAGGGGCGAGAGCGGCGGCGCGTGGAGCGGAGCGAGCGTCCGCGTCGCGCCAGCCAAGCGCGCGCAGCGCAGAGCCGCGCCGGCCGCCGCGCCGCGCCGGAGCCGGTATGAGTGATGAAAATGCAATGCGTTTGTTAGCCTGCTTGTTTTGGTGGAAATTATTTTACGGCAAGATGGTTTCTGTATTCGTCGGCGTCGCCCCGCCCCGCCCCGCCGCCGCCCGCGCCCGCCCGCGTCGCCTCTGTTTTCTTCTCGCGCGCACCGCCCGCGCTTGGCGCGCTGACGCGCGCGTTAGACAGAGCGCGCGCGCTCTCGCTGCCCTGCCACGCTGCCAACTGCCCGCGGCCGCCCTCCCCCGCTACGCCCCCGTCCTCCGGCCGGCGGCGGCATCATAACTATGCGAGTCCCCTTTTATTATATGCGGGGCGCGAGCCATCGCACAGACTAATTAACCTATGTTCCAAGCAGGGCCAGGCGGGCCGGCGCGCGCCGCGCCTTGCTCCCAGTCCCGTGCCTGAGCTCCTGCTAGTACGCGCTAAGGCTACACGCATCCACAATTCATTACGGTCGCAGCATAATTAATGTTTCCGCTACGCTAGGCGCGGTTGTTAACGCGCGCGTCGCGCTCTGTGAGGCACCCTCGCCTCCGCCCTCTCTCCCCGCCCCCCCCCACGCGCGTCCGCGCCGGTGGCCCGCAATCCCTGCACAAACACCTGGACTGGCGCCGACGGCCCGGCAGGCAAGTGCCGGTCGGAGGGGTGGGGCGGGGCGGCGAAAGAGCGTGAAAAATGACGGCGGGCAGCGAGACGCGCTAAGCGCGTTAGTGCCGGCAACACATTAATACGTTTTCAGTTATCACTGCCGGCTACGCTTTATTTTCCCTCCGCCGCAGTCCTCTTTCGACACCGCCGCCGCCAGCCGAGGGAAGGGACGTGCGGCGGCGCCGCATAGGGGGTAAAGAAGGGTGAAATTGTAAATTATTGCGTCTTCCGAGCGAGTAATTAAATCGTTTTGTGTTCTTTCGTTGGTGATTACGTGCGCTCTTTCCCGTCACCACGGAAATTACCGCGTTCGGGTTCAAAAACGCGCGCTTCACACGGCGCGGGCACATAGCGGCAGCGTCACCCTGCGTTCAGAAGCGACGACATCGTACGAAGCAGAGAAACAGCTACTTCGCGGACGGAGAAGACGAGAAGCGTTAAGGAAACTAAGACATGATAAAACCATTTCATTACTGTACTTTATGAGATTTGCAGATATCAAAATTCCATTTAATACTGTTTTGTGCACACGCGGAACAACGTTCCTGTACAAATATTTGTATTAGGTAAAACCACAATAAAAGTCTCCTATAAATATAACACTGCTATGAAAATTAGGATGTTAAAATGTAGAATCGTCTCTACAATAATATTATAACTATCTTCAAAAGCCAAAATATCCAGTACTTTTAAAATTGTTAACATTCCTGCAATTACGTCCCATGTAACAAACAATGGACAATCCAGGGCATTTTCGGTTTTTTTTCAATTTATAACGATTTTATTTAAGAAGTCTTTGCAAATCGTTTATAATGTTTATGCATTCACACGAATTACGCAACAAGATCCCCAAGTCGCTCCTTCGGTCGTTCTTGTACTCTCAAAGAAGTTAAAAATCATAAATTAGTTACAGAATAAACTATTGGATGCAATATTCATAAACATATTTTAAAAACACAAGATTCGAGGTTGAAACATTTTTTTAACATTAACCACTCTGGTTATCATCGTAGACGTACGGAAAAGAAAATTTAACCCCTTTTTTCACAACAAATGATTATGTGAATGTTTGTTTGTTTGTTTGGTTGGTTGGTTGGTTGGTTGGTTGGATAGTTCTCCAATAGCGTTAGTAAGATGCACAATTCAATGTATTTCATAAAAAATCTCTCGTTTTTATATGAGTTTGCACGCTGGACAATTTTTAGATAATTTTTGCTCGTCATTGATGGTAAATAATTAAAAGAATTTCGAAGTCCCGTCAAGGACGTGAAGACGAAAAATGCTCTAGTCGGATATCCATCGACTGCGCCACCCGACAATGGCATTGAACTTGACTAATTCACTTACGAGGACGGCCGTTCGGACAAGATTTTTTTTTCGCTTGTTTTCAAAACTCGTGTTTATCATTAAGCATTGTCAGATCCCTCTTATAAGAGAACGTTCTTGCCGATTTTCTTTTAATTCTGCATTTCCTAACTACTCTGTAAGTGAAGCAAGTGTCGTCGCGTGTGGTACACTTCAAGTAATATTAATGGACTCACAAAACAAGAAACATGAAGTAAATAACATTAATATTAATTTAAACATTTAATAGATAATCTTAATACTAAAAAATGTCACATCTAAAAAGTTTTAGATAACAAAAAATCTACAACTCTTGCAATATTTCTCTTTTTGCTACTTTGGATATGAATAGGACAATAAAGAAATATCGCAATAAAACAAACACTCATTTACTTATAAGTGAATGTAGTTCAACAACAGGACTAAGAGTTACGTGAATGTACAAACAATTAGTGATATGAAATTCATTGAATGTCCTTTTACCGCTTTACTTCGCCCAAGACAAAGATCTGAAGAAGAGTTTCAATTCAAACGTTCCATATGGGCGGATACACGAAAAAAGGAACCCCATATTTTTTTTCCATGTAATATAGTACTTATTCTTTCAGACTGATGGCAAAATGAGATAGGTTTTCAAAATGTACAGGAAGACATCCACTATTCACTGTGAACACAGAATTAAACTTGTTTACGATAATGTAATTCAAATGTTTTATATTTATGTACCAAAATCTGAGCATGTATGTTGTACGAGAATACATCACATATAAAATCAGTAAAAGCAATGTCGTACAATTTGTTTAGGGAATAATATAAAAATATTAAAAATATAAAAATAAAAAATATAAATATAAAAATATAAATATAAAAAATATAAACACAAAAAAATTATTTAGGGAATAATATAAAGTATTATAAAAACCATCTGAAAATGTTCCGCGACTCCTAACGATTCATCCACCAACTGCCTGACTTTTGCAGACCGTGATTTTGGCCGGATTTGCCGACTCACCAGCTGGTTGAGGTCGTGCGTGAGGTCGTCGAGGTCGGGCGCGGCGCCGCGATAGTGCGCCGAGGAGAGCGCCGCCAGCCCCTGCGGCGCGCCGCCCGTCGACCCCACGGACGCCAGGATGCGCCGCCGGTGGCCCACGCGCCCGATCTCCAGCACGGCCGTCAGCTCCACCTGCGAACGCCACGCGCTTACGCCATTGCAGCACCAATCTGGGCTGACTCTTGCTCGAGTTCAGCCGGACGTAACGATTGCCTTACTATTTATTCATTGCAGTCAAGTCATTGCGGCGCTTTGCTACCCCCCAGAAAGCCTGCGCAGCGCTCACACGGTCCATACGTCTATTGCACACATAACGAGAACACCTTTAAACAATACGTTTCATGAGTTGCCATATGCGTTGTGACAAAAATAAACACAGGACGAAAGGATGTAAAAGAATGATATTGGAATTAATAAATATATTCACGATACCCAAAATATATTTTCAATTTCCCTTCAAAAACCAACTACTCGAATCCTTCTAAACTATTACAATCATGCAACATCTTGAATCAAATTGTAATTTAAGTATTTCCTAAAATGAACATCACCAAATGATAGTGGATTACTTTAGTCATGACGATTATCCCTCAAGTGAAGAAATCCAATATTAAAAGACGTGAAAAGTAGAAATGCCGAGCAAATACCAATAATTTTTAAAAAAATCTCGAATAATCATCGAAACCAGGAAAAGAATTGAACAACATGTAACCGACATCGATGCCACAAAAAGTAGTGTAGGAGTCGATATGAAATTATTACAGGCTATTCTCCTTTTAATGATTGTCGCAATGTCCTAGCAAAGTTTGAAAAAGATTATTGGTACTAATGTATACTAACTGGTACCTAATATATACGCTAGACGCCAGTAGAAGTCCATAAGATACAATTTTTTAATGTAAATGCAATTTACTGTAAAATAAAATTATAAAATACTATTTTATTACAATTTCAACCACTTACACTAAAAATAATAATCATAGACATAGGGCAACGTCAGGTATTTTGCTAGTATATAATTACCAAGGTTATTCCACTCATAAAATTAAAACCAACAGTGTTCAACTATACATACAAAATACCCTACTCAGAGCGGTATACTTCAAAAAGATTACTGCTTATTCTATCCTATTTTTCTTACCGCTTCTCCGTACTGGCCATTCATTAACTATGGCTCGTCTATCTTCGAAGGCGACATACATCGATCACTTTGTTCATGTGCAATAAACCGCGTATGTACTATAACAAACTCTTTTATTTTAACACGCTTTTACTAATTTTCAATACTTGGGGCACTTTGGAACTCTGTTGCCAGTCATTTGATTCGTGGAACAGCCCAATTAAATACCACTCGTGCCTTGGGAATTCTCGTAAAAATCCCGTCCTCGCTTCGAGGATTTATCGCCAAATTCCCAAAGCAGTCGCGGTACGACCTGCGCTAGTTTGCGACGCAGCTGCGGCACGCACCTCCCAGATGCGGCGCACGCGCGCCATGTCGGTGTAGAGGTGCTTGCGGAAGGTGTCGGCGTAGCAGTCGAGGCGCAGCGCGTGCAGCCACGCGTCCACCGCCGCGCCCTCGCGCCGCTCGGGGGCGGGCGGGCGCCGGGCGGCACGGGCGCGCGGGGGCGGGCGCCGGCTCTCCCGGGGGCGCCGGGCGTGGCGTGCTGCCCTCGCCGTTGCTGGAGGAGGACGCGCCGCCGCCGCCGCCGCCGCCTCGGCGCCGCCGCGCGCGCCGCCGCCTCGTCCGCCAGCTGCGCCTCCACGGCGTCCGCCGCCGCCGCAGCGTCGGCGACCGCCAGCGGCAGCCCGCGCGCCGCCTCCAGCACGGCCGCGCGCTCGCGCTCGCTGTCCAGCCCCATGTCGCGCAGGTCGCCGTCCTCCAGCACGCCGTTCTGCGCAGCCACCGCGCCCACACGCCCCGACTCACAGGCACGCTCCTCACAACGAACGCCACGGAAATTGATCCACTCAACTGATCCTCCTCCCGTGGAAATTGATGTATTTGTCACCTTCCTCGAGTGGGGATATTACTGATTGCAAAAGCGTCAACTGCTAGGGTATTAGTCAAGTAAGTTAAGTGCATGTCTTTTATCTCGGGAGATGGCGATGATATCCCTCCGCTGGATGGCGAAATCAGGCGCCGACCTACCCGTCGACTTGCGCCTACTAGTTGGGCACTAACCCTTGCCGGGACAATCTCTAGGTGGGTGTCTGTACGTGCATGCAGTGCATGTGAGAGTGTGTTTTTGTGTTTGTAAGTAAGGGTTCAGGATAGGACACGGAAGAGAAAGGAATGATCGCGCGGTACGTGACCCGTCTGTTACGATACTGCTCTGGCATTTCTCCTGGTGTTGGTCGGAGAAACCACGGAAAACTATCGATAAGAACAGCCGACCGCCAGAATTCTTCTCGAGACAGAGGCAGAATTCGACCGAGTTACGCAGCTAGTGTCGAAAACCCCAGCACCGTTGGGACTCGAACCCACAACTTCCCGGTTAGAGGCGCTGCAGTGACAGCAGTTGATGCCAAAAGTCACCTCAGGCGGTAAACGCTTTCATGTCACCTTCGTTACAAAAAGGTGTAGTTAAAAGAACGGGTTCTTTCAAACAATCTAAATTCATTTTAGAGGCCAACAAACATACGAGCAAATGAACATAACTGCGGTTTTGTCGTTATCTTAATTGGATGGTATTTTCAAAAATAAACATAAAAAAGGAAAGAAATTAGAGCATGAGAACCTACAAGATGCAAATCCTAAGGAAAAAAACAAAAGATTTTTCAAAAACAAAAACTTGATTTGTAATCTGAAGAATTGCCACTTTGAAAGAAGTCAAAGACTCCTGCGTCCAAGTCTCGCGAGTGTTCTCAGCTGCGCGGGTGGCGCCGCAATAGAGACAGCGATGTTGGTGTTTTGAGCATCATGTCGTGCTCTTTAAGGCGTTCGGAGCCTGAAGAGCACGACGTGGTGGTGGAAACGATGACTTCAAAGTATTCGATTCGACCTCATTTCTAGTGCGGAAATCATTCACACTTTTGAATTTTAGATTACAATTTTATAATACTGAAACAATACTCGAGTCAATAATTTTAAGCGGCTCTAAATAATTTTAGACGTTACACTAACACAGACTATCCGAACGCCCGTCGGCCTTTTGTGACCGCTAATTCCATCTATCCTTCATTCAGCCCTGGCGTCTCCATATAGAAACGGGAATGTACTCAGACGGTCGCGAAGTAGGGGCTGAAAGGATGGAAGTGGCTCGCCTAAATAAATAGCATCAACTACAATAATTTCTTTATAGAGTCATACATTCTAGAACTTACACAATTTACTAACGCGTACGAAACTGTAAATATGATAAATAACTTTATTTCTTACTGATCTGTTTATGCTTGCTATTCCCTTCGATGTAGATTTCAATACATACAACTTACATGGATGGAGAAGATCCAGGTTATGAAGGAAATATGGACTGATAATACATATTCTCTTATGAAGGGAATTATGAGTGGGAATTATGGAAGGGAACTATGAAATAGAAACTGAATCCAGTTAACATCTAGTTCATAATTAAATAAGTAAATCTGAAATTTAAAAAAAAGTAAAATATTTTATGTACCACGGGCGTTAACGGGTTGTAAAAAACGAGCGACAACAAAGAGCGCGAGGGCCTTTGGCCCGAACCCTTACAACGCCATTGGCGCATTAATAACTATTCCATAGCAGGGGGTGTACTCACGATGAAGTCGAGGTGGTCGTAGCCGTGCGCGCGGAAGAGGCCCTCGTACTCCGCCAGCCCCAGTGAGGCCAACCAGTGGCCCACGGAGGAGGTGGCCAGCGGGCTGCCGGCGCCGCCGTCCGCGCGCGTCAGCCCTGCGCACACCACCACACGCGTCACGCGCTGCACACCAGCTACACACGCGCTGCACTGAAGTTACATACGCGCTGCACTCAAGCTACACACGCGCTGCACTGAAGTTACACACGCGCAGCACTCAAGTTACATACGCGCTGCACACCAGCTACACACGCGCTGCACTCAAGTTACATACGCGCTGCATATCAGCTACACACGTGCTGCACTCACGTTACATACGCGCTGCACACCAGCTACACATGCGCGCACACACGGCATCGCACGCCGAAGCGCGCCTTATACTCCCATTTACACAGAGTGCCACTCCAAGGTTACGAGCCGGAGGGAGGGAGGGCATTGTCATCCAATCGGGAGCTCCAATACCACTAATTTAAGCCGTAACGAAGCCCCAGATTAGATGACAGTGGGCCGCCTTGATCCGCCTTGACCTTGAGGGGGCACTACATGTAAAGCCAGGTAGGGGTGCATCTCGCTCATTGGAGCTCCACGACATGAGATACTTTTACTCTGGAAGCACAGACCAGTGGCTCTTTTACCACGACAAATATTCTTTAAAAATTAAAAGCTAAGGAAAGATTTCTACAATTATTCCGATTAACATTTCTGTCATACATAACAACCAATTTCTCAGAATCTTTCAAAGCATTACAACACAAGAATTATGTATTATGAAAATTACTTAATGTCATGACTCCCATAAACTGAATGAGATACGTGTACCGAGTTTGTTAAAATATTATCATCAATTTTCATTATTACTTCCTTCATTATCGACATAAATGCATTTGCAAATGGTGCAGAGTTGAAAACCTTACGACATAATGATATTCAGAATTACTACGTTGCAGAATCGTTAAACGTTGTTTCTCGTATTCCAAAACTTGCAACGAGATCTTGTGGAATGGACACGCTGAATGCCAGCAGTTGCTAAACTCATCCTAGAGTAATCTAATCCCAGATGAGTACATCGTCACTGACAGTTCGGCTGCACACAGCATTCTGCAAGTCGCAGTTCGCATTTCCATCGATTGCACAATTAACCTTCAAATGCATCTCACCCGCGTGTCTTTCTACCGCGCCATTACTTTCAGTCCGACCCGCCCCCGCACGCGAGCGCTTTTAGGTCAGCGACATTCCGCGACAGCACTAAACGCCCACCTGTGCCCATCCCACCCGGCCGGGCTGCGCTGGCATCAAGCACGCCAGCCGGCGGCCCGGGCGCGCAATTGGCCTTCTGCCGGTCTTTAGCGCGTATGAAATTTAGCCTTTTATTTGGGCGCACGTGTTTATTTTAGGCGGCGGCGAGGGCGCGCGGGCACAAATGCGCTGTGCAGCCATATTATTTGTTGACAGTCCAGCGATGCAAAACTCCGGACCCCGCGCAACGCAGCGCGCCGCCCCCGCCCCCC